TTGTATCCTGCTACTTTGCTGAATTGGTCAACTACGTCCAATAGTTTTCTTGCTGAGTCTTTAGGGTTTTCTAAGTATACTATCATGTCATCGGCATAGAGGGATAATTTTACCTCCTCGTTGCCTAACCATTGCCTAATTTTATATAGCCTTTCGCTTTTTTATTTTTAAGGAAACTAGTTATTCAACAGGAGTTTTTAATATATTAAAATAAAGAGGAAAATGTGAATTTGTGTGTATTAAATTTAGAACTTTCTCTGCTAAAGATAATCTTGGAGGAAGTGCAGCCAAGGTGCTCCTTAGAGGCAAGGATGGTGAACCTTTGTCTCATATACTTAGAGCTTTTTGTCAGGAGAGGCAGTTCATGAAAAAAGACATACTGGGAAAGGTAAAGAGAGGAAGACCCTTAACAGGATGAATTGACCCACTGACTGTAACAGGTGGACTTGAGCATGGCAGAGATTGTAAGGATGACACAGGATAGGGCAAGGTTCAGATCTCTTGTTCTTAAATTGTTGTGATTTATAGTTGATTTATAGCACCTAACTGCAACAGTATAATAAATTGATAATCCTGCCACATTTTTAATACTTGTATATTTGTTAAAGAGGTATTCTAATTCTAGATGAGGGATTATTTATAGTATTATTATTATTATTATTATTAATAATAATAATATTTTATACTGATTTGCTTACAAAGTATACATTGTTTTTCACATTGGATCTTTCCCCTTTCCTTTACTGATCCTTTTACCCATCAGATTGTGTGACCCTATGATTACCCCTCTGTCCATCCTCACCCCTCTGTGCCTACCAGACTCTGCCTTGGATCCTCAACCATTTTACTAGTTATCTTTTTATTTCTACAATTATGGTCTTATACAGTGTTTGTCCTTATCGAATGAAATTAGTTCACTTAGTTATGTAGTAATTTTCAAAATCATTGCTCCTGCATACTGCTTAGTTAGTATTCCTTTGTGTGAATGTACTACACTTTCTCAGTCCATTTGATTGTGGATGGACATTTGGGCTGTTGCTATGTTCTTGCAATGGTGAATAATGCTGCTCTGAACATTGGTGTGCAAATTTCTGTTTTGTGTCTCATTTCTAATTTTCTCTGGTTACATTCTAAGTAGTAGAATAGCTTGGTCATATGGAATTTCTATATTCAGGTTTTTTTTAAG